TATTATATATAGTAGGATCTGAATGGACTAACCTTTATGGACCGGACAGGACTTACCTTTGCTTTATTAACTATCAAACTTACTGAATATTACGGTAAGCCTCAAACGAAAAGTTGAAAACCCATTGACCTCGCCACCCGAAAATGTTACTTCATAGTGCCTTTAAAATAATATTATTTAGACCAACGAAAATTAGGTTTTTACGTTCCGAAATCAAAATTGATTTTTTGCATTCAAGTAAAGAGATAAAATGATAATTCTTGCAATTTGTTTAGGCTTCGGTCGTTTTTACGCAGAATTTATCTTCAAAACTCCCATTAAAAAACAAGAATTAATTTAAATCCGATTTCCACCAGTTCTTTTGCAGTTTTTAATAGAAAAAAATCCAACAAAATGATCGATTTGGCAAAACACTAATAAACTACCCATCACTCTAGTTCTACTGGCCGAACGGCGGCGGGTAAGCAAAGAAATCCCATACCCAAATCTATGTCGGGAATGTCAAAATCCCCCACCCAATGTGCATGACATGTCCGTCAAAACGGCTAATTTTGCCTGTCTATCCCGCACGGAAATTTTTCAAATTTTTGGTGTGCAAGAAACATCATAGCATGAAAGTTTCAGGCTCTATCTATTTTTTGGGTTGCCCCAGGCTCTCTGGATTTATGTAAAAAATTGTTTTACAATAAAATTTATATGACCTTTTACAGTATGCCCAATATATGGACGATTACTCACTGAATGGACGGCCGCCGATTTCGCCGCTCGCTCATAAGATGTCGTCATCGGATCCGATGCTCTTTTTCTAACTCAATTGCCAATTTGCATATTTGAAACGATGGTAGTTTTTAGACGTTTGTACCTTGTATTCTTGGATTTTGAATCTGAAAATTGCTGACTGGCATTTTTGCTATTTTAAATATTGATTTTTTGAAGAATAAGTTACCGAATTTTTAAAACAGTTCCTTTAACGATGATTTTTTAATGGCTGACGATGTTAAAAATTTTTTGGAATGTTTAAATTAATGAAAATCAAAAAAGTAACAAATTAGTAAAAAATGCTAAGGTAGTTTACATTCAAATAAGCACTATTAAACGCGGATTAAACCTGTTCTATTAAACATTTTTTACATTTTTTAAAATCCCTGTTATAAAAATTTCTTTTTAACGTCTAAATTCAGCTCTTATTTTGACATAAATTAAATGATTTAAATAAATTGAATATCGCCTAAATTTAAAGCCCATAAAGTGAAGCTTTTCGAAGTATGTTTTCACCGCTTCAAGAAATCCTTAAAAATCCATTCAGCAAAATTATTCCAAAATTCCCCTTCCCCCGCTTTAGGGTCTTTTCCACTGCCCTGGTATAAATGTATTTAATTGTCGTTACTTCTAATATGCTAATTTCTCGGTTTCTTGAAAATTTTGGCCACTCGATTCTAGTATTTCTAGACGCCAATCTCACTTCTTTTGCCCCCGACCCTTCGGCTGATATTTCTTCGACATATCCGTGCATCTCACTGCTTCTCCTTTGCAACCACTTTTCTTTCAAATATGCTAATTTTTCGGTATTCTTTATTCCATTCTAGATTTTTTATAGCTCACCGCTTTTATTTCTTTTTAATTCACGAAGTTTGTTAATTTTCTATTTTAATTTTCCGATTTTTCGAATTTTTGATGCGTTTCTATCGCTCGGAACTGTGATTACCACTTTTGGGAGTTTTGCGTCTACATTTGTGTTTATATGCGTTCGATTTTTGAGAGATTTTGGATAAATAATTATGAAATTGTATCGAGCAACGAGAGAGAGAGAGAGAGCGAGAGAGAGAGAGAAAGAGAGTGTGTGTAATAGAGCGAGAGAGTGTGAGAGTGGGAGAGTGAGGAGAGAGCGAGTGAAGTGAGATAAAGAGAAAGACAGAGAGACAGAGAGACAGAGAGAAAGAGAGAGAGAGAGAGAGAGCGAGAGAGAGAAACTCGAGTAAGTTCGGATAAAAACTGCCGTCGAAACGACACAATCCCGGAAATTGTTTGTTTTGGGTGCACTTCAACGCGCGAACTATGCCGACGCGAAAATTGCTCAAAGCGGACTTGACTGGAAAAGTCTTCAGTTTCGGGTTTCTCGTTCGTGGCATTTGCGCTATAAGTGATAATCTACTGTCCGTTAACACAATGATTGGACTTATCGTTTTGGCGTTATTGGTCAACGTCGTTTCAGTGACCTTGGGAGAGGTGAACTTGACCAGATTCGGGAAACCAAGTAAGCTTGTGACTCACAAGGCACAAAGAATGAGAGATAGAGAGAGAGAAACAAGGAAAGCGTTTTTTACCTAATCTTAGAAATCTACTCCAATTACATAAACAACGTGACCGCTCTAAAAAATGAACTCTTCAACAAAAGAAACTACGATAACACCCTATCACCGATATTTGGTTGGATGCCGGACAATATGACTGGTATTAAATTCAGATATTTAATAGGTGTTGAATCCGCCGTCCAACCCCTCAAAATTGGCATCACCCTCTACTTCATCAAAATCATCAGCTTGGTAAATGAATAATAGGTTTTCAAAAAATTTATTGTATTTGAGGATGCGCAGAGCCAAATTCTCAGCACATGTCTGCAGATAAAAATGGTACAGCCACTATAAAATGTAGTCTATGAAGATTTTGAGAATTGGACGGACGATCGATTGGCTTGGGATCCGAAGGATTACGGTGGAATCGATCAAATATACCTCAACGAAGATTTATTCTGGTTGCCGGACTCGAATCTTGCAAACGTGTAGGTAGAAAATCTTTAATTTTTAAAACTTACACGTTTTTGTATGGTTTCTTTGACGTGTTACATTTTATTATATGGGATTTGAAGAGCTCGAAACAGTATCTGAAACACGTTTCAAGTCTCGATTATCGAGCATCCTAAGGCTTTTGAAGCTCATATCCAAAAGGTTCTCTGTTAGCCACCAAGATTTCAGCAAAGGCCTGACGTATGTGCATCCGGATCATATTCGTGCAGTACGTCTGCGTAGCAACGGGGATATTCTGATGCCTACCGTGTACTTTGCCGAGACTACTTGCTCCATCATTGTAGGTTTTCTTGTGGTAAAAACCCCTTTCAGCAAAATTATAAGTCCACCAACCCCCCTCCCTTCCAGATCTCCACCTTCCCATTCGACAACCAAGTTTGCGCACTAAAATTCCTGCCATGGATCTATCCCGCGTGGGTCCTTAGTTTTCTGCGGTTCATGCGGTTTTTAGAAGGTTCCTCGGGCAGACGGGATCGATTAGTCCAAACATTGTCGTCAAGAATCAGGTACTACAATTTTTGTTCTTTTTAGAGTACGATAAACACGAATCCCAGTCATCTTTCCTAAAAGTCATTTTTCCTAATAGTCATGTTTCCTAAAAGTCATTTTTTCTAAAAGTCATTTTTCCTAAAACTAGGTAATCGCTTACTATAATTTTTCCTTAGCACTTTTTTCTAAAAACCATTTTTTTCGAAGATTAATTTTTCCTGAAGTTAGGTAGGCGAATATGGGTGCCACCTCCGCCTAACTTGAAACCTGCTTCCTGTGTAGAAACGGCAAAATGCCTTGTCAGCCCTCATAAAAGCTCTTAGACGCATCGGAGCCTATCCTATTTTTTGATTTCTGAATAGTTTTATGAGTTCAAAGATAGCATAACTTAAATCAAAACATCCCGAAAAGGATTTGGTATCATAATCTCGCATTTTCAGAATCTCGCATTTTCAGAATCTCGCATTTTCAGAATCTCGCATTTTCAGAATCTCGCATCTTCACAATCTCGCAATTCCTATAGACTAGCTGCATTTCTACTAACTACAACTAGCAGAGCCTCGGAATTTGGAAGTTTCTGGAAACGTTGGGCGGTTTCCAGGAACGCACGACAACCGTCTAATCGAGGCGCAGCAAGAGGGCATCTAGCAGACACCCATTGCCATCGATTACCAAGCCCAGCGTGGCCTCGACGAGGCGAACGACGCATATGACCATCTCGAATTCTTAAATTAGTGGCCCAGGATTCGATTAATTTGTTGGGATCCGCCTACTCGGTGATCAAACATCATTCATCGAATTCTTGGAACTCTTAGAAAGCCCTTGGAAAAGTTGCGAGACTGAAATTGCGAGATTATGACAATGCGAGATTCTGAAAATGCGAGATTCTGAAAATGCGAAATTCTGAAAATGCGAGATTCTGAAAATGCGAAATTCTGAAAATGCGAGATTCTGAAATTGCGAGATTATGACAATGCGAGATTCTGAAAATGCGAGATTCTGAAAATGCGAAATTCTGAAAATGCGAGATTATGATAATGCGAGATTATGAAAATGCGAGATTCTGAAAGATTCCCCCCGAAAAGATCTAGTACGGCATAGAGACATTAAAATTCTAGGGACGAGGCCTCTCCAAAAAAAATTTTTCCTGCAAAAAAATCAACTGAGAAATATTGATTTTTAGGAAAAATGACTTTTAGGAAAAATGACTTTTAGGAAAAATGACTTTTAGGAATGATGACTTTTAGGAAAAATGACTTTTAGGAAAGATGACTTTTAGGAAAAATGACTTTTAGGAAAAATGACTTTTAGGAAAAATGACTTTTAGGAATGATGACTTTTAGGAAAAATGACTTTTAGGAAAAATGACTTTTAGGAAAAATGATTTTTAGGAATGATGACTTTTAGGAAAAATGACTTTTAGGAAAGATGACTTTAGGAAAGATGACTAAAACCCGATAAACACTTGGGCGGGACGAATGTTTAGTATACTTTAGGGCAACGGCGAATGGGATCTAACGAATCTAACCATAAACACCAACACTTTTGGCGTCGGGGACGAGGAAATCACAGCGGTTAAAAAATTTAAATACTTTCAAACACCTTTTCAAGCTAAACTTCTGGGTTCACCTGCGTCGGGTCCCGAATTTCTACGTCTACGTCATCGCCCTCCCCTGCTTTATTTTGACGCTCCTCTCCGGCGTGGGCATGTTCTGGACCCCGAATTTCAAGGCGGATCAGTTGACAAAGGTGGTTTAAAGGAATATAGAAGCCAAAATAATTTCTGCATTATTAACACGTCTTTTAGCTTGGAATCGGCCTGACAAGCCTCGTGTCGATGACCGTTCTTTTGGACATGCTGGCAGATGCCATCCCAAAAACCGACGATTTCCCACTATTAGGTAGGAAAATGGTATTTTGCTTTTAAAGATACTTGGTATCAAAAAATTCGTATGGCTATCCAAATTTATCCGGATTTAACATTACACTGATCCACGCGCTCAAAATACTTTCTGAATTTAAAAATGCTCCGCACTTTTAAAATTTTTGGAAATTCTAACCATAAGGTTTTGCCTTAACTGTAATATCTGGTAGGTATCTACGTGGTCGTCTGCGTTGGGCTGACCTCATTTGCATGCGTAATAGTGGTCGTCTACCCCCTTGACAATTACCACAAGAAGACGAACCTGGAGATCAAGAAATCGGCCGAAGAAGACCGGAAGCTTGATTTTTGGTAAGAGCCGGTATAAACGTGCCCGAACTTCTGAGTTTCAGGGCCAAGCTTAAAAAGTTCATCCGCCAAGACGTGTGCACGCGACATTTCTGCTTCCACGTCATCTTCCAGTCCATAAATCTAATCGGATTTATTATATTTGTGTCGTTTTGGAATTAAATGTTTGAAGGAGGTATGATCTAGCGAATCACAGGCCAAGCTAAACTAGCTAACTGAAAAATAGAATCGCCGACCGTCAAGTTATAGCAGAGCGATTTGACGTCTAAATTCCTTTGGGTTCTCACCGATTTCAAACTAGAAAAAACTAAAGTTTTCATGGCATTGCCGTTGACATACGTTCCGGATGAAGACATTTCGGAGTCAAAAGTCCACTCAAGTCTACCGCGTCGCCTAGTTCATCGCGCGGATGTTTGTTCTGGTTGTTCGGGCCGGCGGCAAGTCCTTGAAATCTTGCACCCCCGCAAAGCGCAAAGAGTAACATTTTCGGGTTTTTTCCGACTCGAGTTTCAGCGTCAGATTGATTCTGGACTAGCTTTTTCTTACTTTAAATATTACTCATACGTTTCATACTACGCTTTCCGCTTTACTACGCTTAAATCTACGCTGCGCAGTAAGCTACGCTTCGTACTTTGCCTGCCTCGAATGCTGATATTTACTTTGCTTTTGGGACTCGATTGCTTGCCGTTGAGTAAAGCTCTGGTGGACCTGACAAGATACGGAAAGCCCAGTAAGTCAAAATCCAGATTAGGTTCGTATAGCCACGTTTTAGAAATCTACTCCGAGTATATAAATAAGGTGACAGCGCTTTATGATGAGCTTTTCACAAGGCGAGCATACAATGATCGAATATCGCCGGTGTATGGGTGGATGCCAGACAATACTACTGGTAGGCTAATGGGTCTAGGTAGTGTTGAAATCGATGCCTCCGATTAGCTAGGTCTAGACAGATGCGAATGACGCCAAACAACGGGGCGACAAACTTGGTTTTTGCGCCTATTACGATGCTCTTAGGCTTGCATGCAGGCTTGTTGCAAAAACACAGCTTAGACCCGCCTTTTGGTGTCGCGCGTAGCTGTCGAGGTCCGGTCCATAGAAAGGGTCGATTTTGAAGCTTTGCAGCCCCTTCAAAGAAACTTACTAAACGTAGCATACGTAACACAACCTAACGTAGCGAAATTTAGCTTCCCCAGTCGCACCCCTCAACACCGAGATCGAGATGTACTACATGCAAATTATCAGCTTGGTAGGTTCAGTAGCACTTTTCCACAATCGTTCTACATTTTAGGATGCCGAGAACCAAATCCTCAGCACCCTCTTCCAAACAAATATGGTGCGAAACCGCCCAGCATTAATTTGAAACCGTAATTTTTAGTATTGGACAGATGATCGGCTGGCCTGGGACCCGAAGGATTACGGTGGCATCGATCAAATATACCTCAACGAGGATCTGTTCTGGTTACCGGATATTAATCTTGGAAATACGTGCGTTTACGATAATTTTTTTAGCTTTCTTACCAACGTTTCCTAGTTTTGCCATAAAGATTAAAATGATTCAATTTTCTGGATTTTTGCTAGTGTCGGACAGCACCCCAAGAAACGCACCCCGGGTGCCTTTGAAACGCACCCCAGGGGGCCATTGAAACGCACCCGGGGTGCCTTTCAAACGCACCCCGGGGTCTGTTTGAAACGCACCCCGGGGTGCGTTTCAAAGGCACCCCACTCCCTCGGGGGTGCATTAATAGTGTCGCCGGGTGTCTTTGAACGCACCCCGGGGTGCGTTTGAAAGACACCCCACTCCCTCGGGGGTGCATTAATAGTGTCGCCGGGTGTCTTTGAACGCACCCCGGGGTGCGTTTCGGGGTGCGTTTGGGGGTGTGTTTTGGGGTGCGTTTCGGCCCCACAGGTGGCAAAGAATAGCAACAAAGCCGATAAATAAAAGTATATTTAACATAGGAATATTACAGACATGTCCTACAACCCCTAAAACTTCTATCCTACTATATATAAAAAAATAGTGTCTGTGTGTGTGTGTGTATGCCACTTTGCATGCAACTTCCGTCAGCGTGTCCGGAGGATATCTCAAGAGGGGAAGGGTATTAAGCTACGTACGATACGTCATTTGGTGCGTAATGGCCTGGAGATGCCTGCACGCATATCATATTTTACAAGTTAGGCTATTTTCGACATTAAAATTAAGTTTTTGTTAAAAAATCGGGTAGCCTCTTTGTTAGGAAGCAATTAACATAGCCCGGAAGTAGCGCGAGCCTATATTTTGGAGCGGAGAGAAGTGATTTTCATTTTTTCTTTGTTATCGGAATCCGAGAGATTTATGCAGATTGACGAATGCCATGGGGTTAGACGGGGGCCAGGGTTGAAAAGTCGCGAACAGGGCTGGTCATTTCGGACCCGGGTCGGACCCGGACCCGGACCCGGACCCGGACCCACCCGGACCCGCATAAATTTGCATGGGTCCGGGTGGGTCCGGGTGGGTCCGGGTAGGTCCGGGTCCGGAAATGCAGCAAGATGCAAATGTAACAGCATCCTCTTCTTCTTCATCGGATCTCTCATCATCGGACGAATAGTTGTCCATCTGTTTTTTTCTCGTGATTTGGGTCTAACTTACCAACGCACAAAAGCAAATCAATAGGAAAGCAAGTCCTTGAAAACTGACTAAGAACGGATCAAAACCATACTTCGGAAATCATGCAAATGACCCGGACCCACCCGGACCCACCCGGACCCACCCGGACCCGGACCCGGTCGGACCCATGCAAATGAGGGTAGGTCCGGGTCCGGACCCGGTCCGATCGGACCCGGACCGGGTCCGGGTCCGGGTCCGAAATGACCAGCCCTGGTCGCGAAGCGGCTTTTCAACCCTGGTTCATGATGTAATTCACACTCTAGTTACTTCCATTAATTTTTATCTCTTCCATTTTGGCAATCCCATAAATAATTTCCATGCTTTTCCAAAAGTATGTGCAAAAACATTTTAAGCCCAATAAAAAATGAAAATCGTATCAGAATTCTTTTAAAACTCCGACACAGGCCATCAAATATACCTTACGGAAAGCCAGATGGCATCAGTTGTGTATAGAAAGCATCGTAAAACATATCTGTAATATTCTTATGCCAAATATACTTTTATTTATCGGCTTTGTTGCTATTCTTTGCAACCTGTGGGGGCGAAACGCACCCCAAAACACACCCCCAAACGCACCCCGAAAGGCACCCCGGGGTGCGTTCAAAGGCACCCGGGGACACTATTAATGCACCCCCGACGGAGAGGGGTGTCTTTCAAACGCACCCCGGGGTGCGTTTCAAACAGACCCCGGGGTGCGTTTGAAAGGCACCCCGGGTGCGTTTCAAAGACCCCCTGGGGTGCGTTTCAAAGGCACCCGGGGTGCGTTTCTTGGGGTGCTGACCGACAGTAATTTTTGCGCTGGCGTAATACATCATAAAAAATAAAATCTTAATAATTGGCCTTTGAATCAAACGCGAAACGTTACAATTCAGAAGGGCCCTCGTTCTGGTGCACCCGGACCAGATACGCACTTTCCACCTGCGGAGCGATGGAAAAGTGATGATGCCCGCAGTATACTACGCCGAAACAGCGTGCGCAATTGAGGTAGAAAAACTGATGATCCTACCTTATATAATTTTGGCGTGTATCTTTGTGTGTGTGTGTGGATGTCAGTTTCGAGCCCCGATTTGAGGGCCTTCCCGTGTCCAAAACTTCCCAATTCTCCGTCACTTGGGGGAATCGACCCTTCTGTTTCCGATGGCGTTTTCGGAATTTCGATAAAATACAAGTTTACAAAGTTAAAGTTGGTTTTAGTAATTTTTGAGGTCCGTGAGGGCTAATTTGCATAATGTGAAAAAATACAAATTTCCTCATTCTTGCAAGTTGCAGGCGCGCATGTGGTCGGAGGGGGGAAGGGGGTCCGAAGGACCCGAGCTATCGGGAAGGCAAATTTCTCATGCAAAAACAGCATTCCAGCGCCCAAGGCCCGCGAAGCGGGATTTGGGCGCTGGTTAAGTAATTATTCAATGATGACTATATTTTTACTACGGATCGTTGAATATTTTTGTTATTTGTAAAATAGGTATTAGGTCTTACAAGACCGATTTTACTCGCAGAAAAATACAGTAATTTAATAGATCTCCACCTTCCCGTTTGACAACCAAAAATGCAGGCTGTCGTTTTTGACCTGGGTCTACGAATAGTTGGTTTTTCCCACCATTTAAGGTATTTTTTCGTTTTTAGTCGTTTCATCACATTAAATGGCAGCATCAGCAAGTTAATCAATTTTAAGCTACAGGTAGGGGCTTGATCCATCACCTCTAATTTTTTAGGGTAACGGCGAGTGGGAACTGCGAAATATGACGACTGAAGCGGTCACCTATGGCGAGGGCCAGCAAAGCTACGTAGTCGTAAGTCTAGTCAGCAATGCAAAACTATACGATATTTTCAGTTCACATTCTGGGTCCACCTCCGGCGAGTTCCAAATTTTTACGTCTACGTCATCGCCCTCCCCTGTTTTATCCTAACGATGCTCTCCTCAGTTGGGATGTTTTGGACTCCAAACTACAAAGCGGAACAGTTGACGAAGGTTGGATTTTTGGGGAGGTTAGCGGAGTTTCTTTGGGAAATTGCGTCTTTCCCGTCAAGCATTAACATGTCATTTCAGCTAGGTATCGGTCTAACCAGCCTGGTCTCGATGACCGTCCTCCTGCAAATGCTATCTGATGCAATCCCGAAAACGTCAGATTTCCCGATTTTAGGTAACCTTTGAACGGCTCTAAAATCTCTATTTTAGGTATCTACGTCGTCCTCTGCGTCGGGTTGACTTCATTTGCATGCGTGAACGTTGTCGTTTTCCCATTAGAAAATTTTCACCGAAAGACGAATGTGGAAATCAAGAAATCTGTCGCTGAGGATGAGAAATTAGGGTTTTGGTGAGTAGCTCTCTCTCTCTCTCTCTCTCTCTCTCTCTCTCTCTCTCTCTCTCTCACCCTAGCGCCGCTAAAAATGAGACAATTTCAGGGTCAAGCTCAAGAAATTCATCCGCCAAGATGTGCTAACCCGACATTTCTGCTTCCACGTCTTCTTCCAGGCCATAAATTTGATCGGCTTTATTGTGTTTTTATCGTTCTGGAATTAAAGTGATAGGGCAGGGTTTGTATCAGTTATACGAGCAAGAGCAAGAGCAAGGGTTATACCATTCAATTATCTCAAAGTCATAGGGCATCCTTGACCTAAGGCCTCGTAAGGATTTGAAGATAAAAAAAGATACGATGGGGGGGTGGAGAGGGAGATCAAGGCAGGGTCAGCCATGTGTTCCGTCCTGCTGCATGGCTCGGGACTAGAGTGAGTGTGGGGCCGACGAAGCGCGGATGCGGCTCCTGATCCTTGCCACATTTTTTTGTAGCTGCGCTCCAGCTGTGTTAATATACATGGATTCTTCCCGATGCGTTCACCTGAAATGCGAGTGGCGGGGAGTTGGAAAATATTGCAAGCAGCCGACAAAGAATTTCCAACCTAATCAACAGGTCAGTGGGGGAGGAGGACGGAAGAACAGAGGAATATAATTGAAATTGCCAAAAAAGAAGCTTTAAGATTTATAACATTAAATTAGTATTAAACAAGTTTTTTGATTTTGCAGGGTTTGGCTGTAACATTTTAATATGACACTATTTTCGACTAAAATTTAAGCCCTGAGAAAATTTTGAATGTTTGATTGAATGGTTCTTACAAAATTCTGTAACAATATAAAAATATGAGTGTAGACTATTTTTCTTTCTTTAAATTTTGCGTGTTTACTTTCTTTCCAACCTGATATGTTAAATAATCGTCGGCATTATGAAAATAAGCGTTATTAAAGGGCTGCCGACGGCATGTGTCGATCCCCCTCGACTATGCCGTCGGCATCCCTTTAAGATCTGCCTCATCAGATCGGCGCGATCGAATTTCGCAATATGTCAAATGGAAATAATAAAAATGAGTGTTATGAACACCGGTTTTATGTACGTAATTCCGGCCACCCCTTCATTGTGATTTCAGAAGACCGTGTCGACTGGCAACCTGGTGGGGAACCCATTTCGCAACAACCAGTCGGAAACCCGGATTCTGGCAGATCTGCGGGTAAGATGGTAAAAGGGACATCAAAAGGGCCGTAGTGGTATAGTACGTACTGGCATCGTACCGTGTAGTACTATTTTTGCTGCTATGAATCCTATCTTTCCAAAATTGTGCACTTGCGGTGCTGGTTTTTTGATGGGTGCATCCACTTTGCTTGAAAAATTCTAAAGTTCTAAATGTTTTAAAAGTATCATAAATCTTCTCTGCTACCTCGTGCTTCGCCCCACTCTCTGCCCTATTCCAGTTGGCTCGTTGCCCGTTATAGGCCAGACCTGATCTACCGGGCCTTCCTTATCCCTTTAAAGACGGTCAGAACTCTGGATGGGAGCACGTTGAATTTGCGTTTGGTTCAGGTGTCCATTTGGTGTGCCACCCTCAGGGAAACAGTGTGCGTTCCAGAGTTCTGTCAGTCTTTAAGACACGATGAATGCCTCAACCAAAATTCTTTCTCTTGCAGGCTAGATACCGCCACAATACCTTCACGTTGGTCAACGACGCTGTTCCGGGCGAACAGTGCGAGGGAAAACGTCTGTGGTGCAATGCCATTTATATGACTGTCGTTGACGACCACAGTTCTGTGGAGCAAATCCTTCGTGCCAAATACCCCTCAAGGTTCGAATGTTAACCTTGCTTCGCTAAATGGTCGATCAAACATTATGATAATTTTGGTTGTTGATAAACGCTCTTACATCTGATTGTCAAAAAGCGATCTGCAGGAATTCACCAAGATTAGATTTGAAAAACAACCATATCGCTTTGCAAATCGGGGTGGTGGTATTATTAGGTCGTCAAGAAATTTTTGTCGGTTTTTCGCTAATCATCCTTTTCGGCGGGGAAATCCAGAATCCTTTGATACACTCGATTCTACAGGGTGTCCCAATAAAAAAGGTCACGCTGGCATTTTGTCATTTCAAATCCGATCGACTTGAAATTTGGAACAGATCTGCGGAAGGGAATTTAAAATGTTTACGGAAAATTTCAGCCCGATTGGTACAGTAGTTTTCGACTCATAGCAAAAATAAACTTTATTTTACGTTTTAAACCTGGATTGCGCCGCAATTGAGCCTGGAATGTATGGCAAAAATGAGGAGCCGACCCTTTTTTACCCCAGAAATTTTTTTATTTTGTAAAATTCGTCTTGGAAATAGGTGGTTTAAATAACTTTAACAAGGTGTTATTATCCCCGATGTGAAGAAGAATGAGAAGTTTAGGGCCGGAATTGATGTTAATTGATGCAAAGTCAAAAAAGATAGCCGAAAAAAATGAAGCAAAAGTGTTGAAAAAACAGTATTTTTGCTAAAACTCGAAAACTACTGCACCGATCGGGCTGAAAGTTTCTGTGAACATTTTAAATTTCCTTCCGCAGCTCGGTTCCAAATTTCAGGTCGATCAGATTTGAAATAGCGGAATGCCAGCGTGACCTTTTTTATTGGGACGCCCTGTATATAGGCGCGTAATGGAATTGGGCGCCCGAAAATGCGGAGAATTATTTGTTCTGGGTACGTGGGACGTTTGCCACTTCAAAAAGTCGAAGCGAAAGAGCAAAGAGTTCTCCGCGGTTGGTTTCGGCTTAAATTTCGACTTCCGAATTTTTTAACCGCCCTTGATCTGCTTCTACTGGAACGTTGATGCGTATTCTATTTTTAATGCTCCCTATCATTCACTTGGGTGATGCTCAATTTGATTTGGCGAAATACGGGAAGCCTAGTACGTTGGAATACGCAGTACGGTGGTATATTTAAAATTTAGGGGTCTACTCGGATTATATGAACAACGTGTCAGCACTATATGATGAACTTTTCACGAAACGGCCCTATAATGATCGAATATCGCCGGTGTATGGGTGGATGCCGGAGAATAATACAGGTAATTTACAGGGACCGGAAGGTGCTTAAATCGACTGCAGTATTTCCACTGGGTCACGACAGCTACACGGCACACCAAAATAAACACATTCTTTTTTTTTCATTTTTAAGGAGCTTTGCGACTTCCGTGTAAAGCTTCATCGATTTTGACGATTTTTCAAGCGTATGAGCCGGAGAGCTGCCGAGACCTAGCTGGGGGGCAGGGTCAATTTGGCTCTACTACGCCTTTTGAAACATTTTTCTGGAGTATAGGCCAGTTTAGCCTCTCCTGTCGATCCACTCAACACCGAAATTCGCATCTTCTACATCCAGATCATCAGCTTGGTATTGTTTCCCTTAATTCTGATTCATATTGGCGTTCCAGGACGCGGAAAACCAAATCCTAAGCACGCTATTTCAAACCAGAATGGTCTGCAAATGATGGTAGACCATTCGAAAGATGAATTTTAGTATTGGACGGATGATCGGCTTGCTTGGGACCCGGAAGAATACGGCGGTATCAACCAGCTATACCTCAACGAGAATTTATTCTGGCTTCCGGATATCAATATTGGCAATGTGTGGGTTTTCAGTATTTTTCGATGTTGTCACTAGTAAAATAGAGTCTAATGAAGTAATATATTAGTATAGCGCGCATACGACGCGGCAAAGCTTATTTTAGAAAAGGCCTTGTTCTGGTGCATCCGGATCAAATCCGTACCTTACGGCTGAGGAACAATGGCAAAGTGATGATGCCCACCGTGTATTTTGCAGAAACGACGTGCACGATAAAGGTAAGAAAGCGCTTTGTGACCAGTTGATACTCCCAGCCTTCGCTGTAGAATTTTTCGCGTGTTGCAAACTTCCGTTTCAGATCGCTACCTTCCCATTCGACAACCAAGTCTGCGAGATGTCGTTTATGACTTGGGTTTATGAATTGTACGATTTCTAGTTCATTCCGGTCATATTCCTTTAGCAAATTCATCACACTAAACGGAAGCGTCAGTCAAACGCTTGATTTTAAGGAGCAGGTAACGGGTTCAGAGAAAACGATGCGCGTGCTGCCGCGCTGCCTACGCCCGACACAAACGCGCGCGATGCGACAGAGAAATTAATTCTAGGGCAACGGCGAGTGGGAGCTGACAAATCTGACGACCGAGACCTACACATATGGTGAAGGCGAGGAAAAGATCCAAATCGTGGGTGCAACTCGCTGCCAGCTCTATGGCTTGGACAACCTCTAGTTAAACTTCCTGGTCCACCTCCGACGCGTCCCAAATTTCTACGTCTACGTCATCGCCCTACCTTGCTTTATTCTAACGATGCTATCGGCTGTTGGAATGTTTTGGACGCCAAACTACAAAGCGGAACAGTTGACGAAGGTTCGTTTTAAAGGGACAATAACGCTATTTGAGCCTGTGATTGAAACGTCTAATTCTCGTCTTTGCTAGCTGATTAATACCAGCAATGTCTGGCCCTACCAGCAATTAATGCTTCATTTTAGCTAGGTATCGGGCTAACCAGCCTCGTCTCGATGACCGTCCTCCTGGATATGCTTTCCGACGCTATTCCGAAGACGTCGGACTTCCCGATTTTAGGTATAGGTCATGGCTGAAGTCCATCTAATTATTTTCAGGGATCTACGTGGTCCTATGCGTCGGCCTAACCTCATTTGCGTGCGTGATCGTTGTCGTCTTCCCATTGGAAAATTTCCATCGAAAAACCAATATGGAAATCAAGAAATCTGTGGATAATGAGGATAAGAAATTAGGGGTTTGGTAAGCATTTTTCCTCCTCACCCTGTCTTTCTCTCTCTCCATCTCTTTCGCCATTTCTCTCTCTCACCCTCTCTCTTTCTAGCTCTCTCGCTGTTATTCTCTCAACGACCTTTAAATTTCCAGGGCGAAACTCAAGAAATTCATCAGACAAGACGTGCTGACGCGACATTTCTGCTTCCACGTCTTCTTTCAATCCATAAATTTAATCGGTTTTATTGTATTTTTGTCGTTTTGGAATTAAATCTATTTTACACGGGTAATATGATAAGAGCAAATTGCACTAAAATTGCCTCGGCCCATCACAAATCAGCCTCGAACTCTAAAAGACGCGGAAGATATTTGAGAGAGAGCGAGAGAGAGAGAGGGAAAGAGATAGCGAGACAGCGAGAGAGGGAGAGAACAAGAGAGAGGGAGAGAGAGAGCTGGGGAGAGAGATATCAGATCAAAAATTAACTACAGAGAGCATCCTCAAAAGCTTTAACGATGAAATAAACTCCAATCCCGTCCGTTCTAGGGTCAATTGGTTGACGGCGCGCGAAAGAATTGTTTGTTCTGAACTCTCTCGCAATTCCACAGCCACCCTCTTGAAAAAGCACAATTGAACCCATTGCTCGATGCAAACGGCATTCGCCGGGGGTAGATTAAATTTCCACTTTTATGTAATGGACAGTTCTTTGCTTGGAGCGGACTACACTATATCTTTGGTGTTGATGTTTTCGGTTTCAGGGTCCCGCAACCTGCAGCTGGACTGAGTTTTTGATGCTGTTCTTGATTTTACCTCTTGTGCTCAACTTAAAGACGATTCTTGCTCAAACCGACTATACGAAATACGGGAACCCGAGTATGTTTAGGCTTACTAGAAAATTATATAAATTTTGCGGTTATTGGCGCCACCTTAAATTAGCATAATTTTATAACGCTTTAAAATATGATACTTTTTATGATTAAAACTATGCTTAGGTAAGATTTGGCAAGCTATAATTATCTTTAAAAGATTTAAAAATATCTTGATGTCCGAAAATTTTCATATTTTCACATTTTCAGCTCCGATTTTCATAACTTTTTATGTAACATTTTTGCGAAAATCTTGAATAAAATGAATGAAATTTGCCCTTTCAAAAACAGCCTAAGATCGGCGATTGTTGATTTTAATTTTACTATTGTTCATTTTAATTTTGGCTGCAAGGAAAGTAAGGTTAATTTCCAATTGATTGGACCAAAAACTATACTCGTTAGAGGTCTACTCCGACTATCTAAATGATTTGACCCGACTACAACAGGAGATTTTTACAAATCGAAACTACAGTAGCCAACTGTCACCGATTTATGCAAAGAGACCAGGAAATGGTTCAGGTAGCTTTAGAAATAATCCATAAAAAGCAAAAAATGTATTCAGATTTTCCAGTCGACCCCTGCAATATTGAACTAAGATTGTTTTACATACAAATTATCGGCCTGGACGCCTCCAGCCAAATTCTTAGTACCTGCCTCGAGATTAAAATGGTAGGAAATTCGTGGAAATTTGATGTTTTTGGAATCATTCAGATTTGGAAAGATCCGCGTCTGGCCTGGGATCCGGATGAATACGGTGGTATTGAGCAAATGTACCTCAACGAGCAGTTATTCTGGTTGCCGGATACGAATGTTGGAAATGTGTAGGTTTTCAAAAGTACTAGCGCCAAGCGTTAACTTTAGCGTAATTTCCTACTTGCTAATTGCTCTTTATTTAGTAATTCTACACACTTAGAGCGCAGAAAATCTTAGGAATTAATGTTTTATAATTTTGCACATGATAAAACTAGCAAAAAATCCGGTGTTCAGAAAGGGCCTCGACCTCATCCACCCGGAACAGGTTCGCACCGCTCGCCTGCGGAGCGACGGCGAAGTTTTGCTACCTACTGTATATTTTGCAGAAACCACGTGCTCGATTAAAGTAATTTTATACGTTATAGGGTAAAACCCAAATCCAAAGGATTGATGCCGTTTAGAAGGATTGATATGCTAAATACTGAGTATTTTTAGGTAGGAACTTTCCCATTTGACGTCCAGACCTGTGCTATACCTTTTATGACGTATATCTATGACTAGTAAGTATTGTTTGTGATGTTTTTTGAACTGTGGTTATTCAGCAATTCAATTACTCTCAACGGGACTCTCAATTCGGCCATTGAACTTGCATCTCAGGTATAAAAGTCAATTACGTCTCTTCTCCATTGCTCTCTCTTTCTCACTCTCTGTGTCTCTATCTCACTCAAACACTCTCTCTCTCTTTTTCTCTCTCTCTCTCTCTCTCTCTCTCTCTCTCTCTTTCTCTCTCTCTTTCCTTCTCTCTCTCTCTCTCTCTCTCTCTTACTCTCTCTCTCTTTCTCTCCTCATCCCAGATTTTAGGGAAATGGAGAATGGGATCTGTCAAATCTTTCGACGAGCGTAATTGCCTACGGTACTGGTGAGGAGGAAATGGCCGTGGTAACCTCTTAACCTTCGATTATGAGAAAATAGCTTTAGCTAAACTTCCTGGTCCACCTCCGACGAGTTCCGAATTTCTACGTCTACGTCATTGCCCTCCCATGCTTCATTCTAACAATGCTATCCGCGGTTGGCATGTTTTGGACCCCGAATTTCAAGGCGGACCAGTTGACAAAGGTGGGCTTAAAGGGCACGTTCAGGGACGTTTTTTTGGAAAACAGCAAAGATTTTTGCCGCGGGCGGGGGGTCGAACCCGGGCCCTCCGCTCGGGAGGCGCGGATGGATACCAGTCAGCCACAGTTACAACCTGGCGAGGGGTGAGGGGCGCCCCAGGCCGCAAAGGAGGGGAATGGCCTGTCACAGCACGGGCAGGCAGTGCGCGCGGTCCCTACGTCCATAGGGTGTACACGTTGGGACGAGTACACGGCCCCTCCGTGAACGTGCGCTTTAAAGCGCTGGTGAAGGCATTCGCTTAAAGCTAAATAGGCCAAGGAAACTAGCAGATAGCCTTTAAGGGTACATCTTCGTATATCGTTTTGAGTAGCGTATATTCTAATTGTTCATAAAAAACCAAAACAAGTAAAGCGAAGGCAGGGCCCAAAATGCTCCATGTAAAGGCAATCTAGCAGAGATGCCGTGGGAAGGCTAATTTTTGCCAATATTGCCTCCAACTTACTATTAATGTACCTTGAGCTCGGCATCGGCCTCACCAGCCTCGTCTCGATGACCGTCTTGTTGGAAATGCTGGCTGATGCCATCCCAAAAACCGACGCTTTCCCGCTTTTAGGTATTTTTGAGCTCTAAATTGTTAACCTAAATTTAGGAATCTACGTGGTACTTTGCGTCGGTATTACCTCATTGGCATGCGTGATAGTCGTCGTTTTCCCCATCGATAACTACCTCAAAAAGACGAATCTCGAGATCAGGAAATCGATTGAGGAAGATAAGAAGTTGGATTATTGGTGAGAGTTTTTATCGTTTTTATAAAAGAAACAAATATTGGTAGAAACGATTTTCTATTTTCCTAATCTTTTCATTCTAGTTACATTTTTGGAATATTTTTTACCAAAAACATTTCCTGGAATTAGCTAGGGGTTTTTGCACGAAATCCGATACCTAAAAAACCTAATCTCAAGGGCTAACGTTCTGGATGCTGGCCGCAGCCAGCCTGCAAATTCGTGCGCTAGTCATTACTAGAATGGGTTGCAATTTTTAGAAACCATCTGAAAAAGTCGGGATCAAGTTACAGCCCAAGTATCAAGGCCTAAAACACACCCCAAATAGCTATTTAGGGCCAGCTCAAACCTCTTCTCTATGTCTCTCTCACTCTCTCGCTCCTTCTCTCTGGCTTTCTCACTCTCTCTCTCTCTCTTTTTCTCTCTGTCTCCCTCTCTCTCTCTCTCTCTCTCTCTCTCTCTCGCTCAAAAAGGGCGCATTTTCAGGGCCAAGCTCAAGAAATTCATCCAGAAAGATGTGTGCACGCGGCATTTCGGCTTCCACGTCTTCTTCCAAGTCATAAATTTAATTGGTTTCATCGTGTTTTTATCGTTTTGGAATTAAATATGGCTGTTTAATAAATGTACAGAATATACCTAAATTGCACGCAACCTGGCAAAATTCGCCTAAAGCCTCTCGTCCGGGAGCTTTTTGTTGACTTTTGAGTCGACTCCTCGTGTTACTTCCGTTTTTTAAAGGACACGCTTGGCAGGGCGTCTAAAGTACGGGAGTTTGTGCTTTAGCGTGACGAATTCTAGGCTTATACCTGCCGTCATGCTCGTCAGGATATTTTTGGCCGGGCTCAATTTTTTAGTAGTGGCCTCCCAGCGAGTCGACTATACGAAAAATGGGGATACCGGTAAGATTTTCTAATACTTATGAGATATGGATTCGGTATAAATTGAAATTTACTAGTAATATAAATATGTGATGACTCGATCCGCATTTTAATGAGCGTGGTTCATTCAAATAAATAAAACCTCGTTAGGTTACTAGCATTAAACGAGCTAAGCTAAAACGAACCCTGTTTTGACAGTGGTAAAAAGCGCATTTTGCGCTTCATACTAAAACATAGCGACGTATTGATGTATCGACGTTCCTTCAGAATCCTACTCAAACTACATGAACAACGCTACACGACTGTACGATGAGATTTTCAACGTGAGGCGTTACAACAAGGGTCTATCCCCGGTCTATGGTTGGATGTCGAGTAATACCTCCGGTTTGTGTTAAATACGAAGTCATCAGCGATTCGAGGCAAGAATGCGACTATTATATTACTTTAAGAATCCGACACACCGCCTCTAAATATCGAAATCCGGCTATTTTTCATACAACTTATCGGCCTGGTAATCTTCTTTTTTCCGCTAAAATCTGAAACAAATTAATTTAAGGAAGCCCAGAATCAAGTTTTGACAACGATATATCAAATAAAAATGGTAGGTTCCACTTCCAGCTCGGCCTAAATTCAGATACCTCTAGCGTTGGAGAGACCCACGCCTCGCCTGGAATCCAGCAGAATACGGCAATACGACAAAACTATACCTCAACGAGGATCAGCTATGGCTACCAGACACGAATATTGCTGGCGTGTGGGTGTATAAGTTTTTAATGGACGTTCAATGTGGCCTGCTTGCATCGTTAAATTGAGCTTTTTCAGATTGGCCCTGTCGATCATCCACCCGGAAGGTATCCGGACGGTATGCGTGAAAAGCAGTGGCCATGTGACTTGGCCGGCTCAGTATTACGCGGAAAATAATTGTAGAGTAAAGGTAAGTAGAATTCTTAAAGTCAGACCACTGTGCTCTTTTCTGTCTCTCCCCCCCCTCCTCCCCCTCCCCCGCTCTCTCCCTCGCACTCTCTCTCTCGCTCTCTTTCTTTCTCTCTCTCTATCGCTCTCTCTCACTCTCTCTCTCTCTCTCTCTCGCGGGCGAAAAATAATAAAGATGCTTTCAGGTCGGAACCTTTCCGTTCGACACTCAAGTCTGCTTGCTTCCCTTTATGACGTGGGCTTATGAACAGTAAGTTTTGAGTTTATCATGATCCTGTAGCTAAAGGATATAATTGCGTAATCGTTTACAGAAAATTCATCAGCATCAATGGATCGATAAATGAGCATATCAAAATTGAAAACCAGGTAGGAAGTTGGAGTTGACTTGACACAAACCATTAAAAAACAAAAGACCAGTTTTAGGGCAATGGAGAATGGGAGCTGAAACACCTCGGAATTTTCAACAATTCTTTCGGTGTTGGGGATGAAGCTCTAGTGAAGCTGAACTTTGAGTTAACTCTCCGGAGAGTCCCAAATTTCTACGTCTACGTCATCGCCCTTCCCTGCTTTATTCTAACGATGCTCTCGGCTGTTGGCATGTTTTGGACCCCGAATTACAAGGCGGAACAATTGACGAAGGTTTGATCTTATCGCTACGATTTATTTGAATTTTTTAAGATGGTAATCGCTGCAAAATATTATTTTATCATTGATGCGCGGTTATGTATTCCTTTAACGCCTCATTTCAGCTTGGTATCGGGCTAACCAGCCTCGTCTCGATGACCGTCCTCTTGGATATGCTTTCCGATGCAATACCGAAAACTGTTGATTTTCCGATATTAGGTAATGGCTTCAAATGCTTAAATTTGTTCATATAATTGTTAATTATAGTTCTTAATAGTCGTCAGATTAAATGGATATTTAGGAATCTACGTCGTCCTCTGCGTGGGCGTAACCTCATTTGCATGCGTCATCGTCGTCGTATTCCCGCTCGACAACTTCCACCGCAAGACAAATTTGGAAATTAAGAAATCGGTGGAGGCGGATAAAAAATTGGGATTGTGGTACCGTAAAGGCAAAAAGTATGGTTAAAACTTGTAATTTCAGGGAGCGCCTAAAAAAGTTCGTCTCCAAAAACCTACTAACCCGCCACTTCCTGTTCCAACTGATCTTCCAAGCAATCAACCTGGCCGGCTTTATCGTGTTTCTGTCGTTTTGGGATTGAGCGTCGAATAAAAAAAATTTTCTTTATAAACAAAGGAAAAATCAGTTTACTTGCAGGCGGAGAAGTTAGAAGATCTCGGGATGTAAATCAAGGTATTCCACAGCCCAAAATGAAAAAATTCAACAAGCCAATTGCTGTGAATCAAATTTCATAATTGATTTTGTTCGTGGGCACATTGCAATGAATATGACAAGAAATTTGGTAGGCAATTATCAATGGCCGGTCTCTCTTTATTAATATAAAAAATCATACTACTAGACATAACAGTATTACATTCCGGAGTTCGCCATATGAGCGCAGAGTTCTCAGTGTATCATTTCACTTTGTCTTTAGCTATTACGAGCAGCTCCATTTGAGCGGTTTCGTTAGTATGAAGCTCGTCCACGTTCTATTCCTCAGCTCCATGGTCCTCGGAGCCGTCTCCTACACTACATTGGATCCATGTTTGTTTTTCTGTTACCCCAGCAACTTTCAGATTTCAGTCAACTCCACAGGTAGCGGCCCGCCAGCCTTTCCCAAGCCTGTACCCCCAAGTTAGTGAATATCACGACAGGAGACCCTGTGATTTTAGCGACGTCTGAGGAGCCAAAAATTGAAGCGATCACGACGGTTGCGACCACCACTGGTAGGAAAATTTCTGGGCCGTCGGACAATTAGGCGAAAATAGCGAAGCCAAAAATGAAGAAAAGAAAAAGAAAGTTGTAACATTTTTTTGAGGCTACCAGGCCTGTCCCTACCACCATAGATGAGCCCATTAGCAACGGCATCGAAAGCCCCGCCACAAATGGTATTTTTTAGCGTTTTTCCTGTTTCAAATACCTGTATCACGGCGTAGTGCCGATCAATACCTCCCTTTTCAGAAAGCAACGATCGTATTGTCAGAATTGATGTTCACATGCCATCTTCCGACAAACTTCATCCGACCCTAACCACCGGCTTGAAAGTTGAAATTTTGCTCTCTCCCAATCAATGCGAACCTCAATAAACGATTGATTGCATTTCTTAGACTAGAATGAAGGCACATAGCTTCTCAGAGCGCCCAAAAAAAACTTTGAAACGTTCCAGAGACACAACAATGTTGTGAAATTAGCGGCAATCACGAGCCAAGAGGAATTCATATTAACGTGAAAATGATAGCGACAGAAAGACATAACATACGCACACTTTTCAAGGACAACATATAGCTTCTGGTCCCTACAACTTTTGAAGCCAGCATTAGTTGCAAACCAAGGACCACGACGATGAAGCTTCTTCTCTGCCTGACGTTGGCGGTCGCGGCCAGCGCAGTTAGTGTCCCACCGATTGAGCACCGTTTGTTGTTTTTGATCGCATCATTCGAGCTGTTTTAGTCAACTTCACCACTCCACCACCAAATAATGCTCCAACGACAGGTGGTAACTTTAATAAAAAAATTTTGCAAATGCGGAAATCATATAGACTAAAGCTTACCTGACATAAGGTAAAAAAGTTTACTTAATAAAAATCCAAATTAATATGCAAACTTATAAACTGCTTGAAAATTAGTGTTTGACAGGTGAGCCTGTTGCTTGCCATAACTAATTTATTTGACATTATTTTAAGCTGGATCTTGATCTTTTAGTACATTTTTAGACGCGCTATCGAATAACGTTCAAGAAATTTTGTCAGATTTGCACCCCATGCTGCTATCGGGAAATTGCCTGAAATACTATTATTGCTGTAACTATGTAACCTTATCATATCCTACTATATATAAAAAAATAGTGTTTGTGTGTGTGTGTGCCACTTTGCATGCAACTTCCGTCACCATGTCCGGAGGATATCTCGATAGGGAATAACTTTTAAGGTATATATGATACGTCATTAGATCCGTAATGGCTCTGGGATGACTGCACGCTTATCAGATTTTACAAATCTAATTGTTTTAAATATTAAATTTCAGTTTATATAAAAATTTCGGCCACCCTCTTTGTTAGGAAACAATTAGCATGCACCGGAAGTGACGGTAGCCTATATAATCTGGCAGAGAGTGTCATTTTTCATTTTTTCTCATCGCAATTCGAAAGAAATATACAAAGCGAAGAATTTTATGGGGTTAGACGGGGCCAGGGTTGAAAAGTCGCGAAGCGGCTTTTCAACCCTGGTATTAGCCTAAAATTATAACTCTTGGTATATTTTTCAATTTTTTATCGAACGGCTTATCGAAAATGTAAAAAAAATAGGCTAAACGCTCGAAGAATTTTCGGACCCTCGTGCTGGGGGGGGGATAAATTATCATTATTTTTAATCCCTGGAATAATGGTTCTAATATGTATGTAGTGAGGAAAAGCAAGTAATAGCGGAAGCTTTATTTCTAGAGCCAACAACGACTACCACCACTACGACTACTACGATTGCTACATCCGAGGTGCCCGCTGTCACCTTGGAGGGCCCCACCGCAGGTGTGTATTCAATTGTATCAATTTTTGCGGCCACCAATAACCGCTGAAACTATCGAATACTAATATCTTATCTACCAAATAGAAACGGTGTGGAAAACTGAAAAAGCTACTCTGTCAACTTTGACTTTCAGAAATGCACGATCCGATCGTCAGAATTGACGTCCACATGCCGTCTTCCGACAAATTCCAGCCAAAACCAATGACCGGCTTGAAACTTGAAGTCCTCATCTCGCCGACTGGTTGTTAAACGCAATAAATCATTTCTATCTGTTGCCAAACCACATTTGAAACCCAACCCTTCAGAATATGTTTGCAAAAAATCTTCCATTCGCCGTGCTTTTGATTTGATTGATTGGTTCGGCCCGATAATAAATGAATTATATGATAGAATTTATAATGTTTCACGCTTACGCAGGAATTTTGCAAATCTGATCGGAAGACCCGCAATCGAAAGTATACAATTTTTCGAAGGACTTCCACGACCCAGAGACAAAACAATTTTGTGAAATTTGCGGCAACCAGCAGCGATGAGTAATTCATAGTAACGTGAAAAATGATTTGCAGACACAACGCCGGTCAGTCTCTGAATACCGTTGGTTCAGTTGGCAGCTGGCAAAAACCATATCGCCCGACACCTATTTATTGATACCTTGAAACATGAAGCTCCTTCTGCTACTTGCTCTGTCAATGGTGGCCACGGACGCAGGGACCATCTTCCCCACTGAGAGCAGTTCGTTCGATTTGCATCCCCAGCAACAACCAGTCATTTAGCCGGACCGACCGACTGGACCGGTCCCACTCTGCCACCAAGACCACCAATATATACAACCGCTCCGAGCGCTGCATCCACTCAGACCTCCACCGGTGGGATTTTACCTTATCGACACTCACCTACTCTCACAAACATTGTTCATTATCAATTCAAAGGGGCCAAAAAGTCAGGTTTGTGCTCGGGAATCGAACCTACGACTCAAAAAGTTACAATGGGTACTCCCTACGAGTATGAGCAAATTAATTTCGTCGCCAAAAATGCGAAATTTTTGAAAAAATAAAGCTGGTTTTGGCGCTAAAGCGCGTTTTTTATTATGGTTTTGCATGTCTTAATGTCCGGTCAAGCACCCAAATCAGCAAACGGGGATTCTGGGGTCAATTCTGAAAGTTAAAACAGCTAAATGATGGGAATGATCGCTTGACGATTCCAGAAATCGCATCCGAATTTTTAAATTCAAGCGTTTTCACGCCCTAACGCAAGCAAGCGGTCGCGTTTCGACCGTTTTTTCGCACAGGGGTGGTGAAAATTTTTTGGAAAAAACTTCATTTACAGTGGCCACCGTATCTAGCACTACATCCGCAACTGCGTCCCCTTCCTCCACTGCACCAGCTGGTAATTAAAACTTTATTACGCCCTCAAGGTCAAATCAATTTATTCGCTTAGTTTCCGAGAGCGATGCTTCGGTTATGAGGGTTGATGTTCACATGCCGTCAGCAGACAAATTACACCCGAAGCAAATTGCCGGGCTGAACGTCCAAATTTTGTTTGCTTCTCCCGGTTGCCAACCACAATAAATGATTCCTACAGGATTACCGTTGTTATTAATTCATGAAGTCTCGCTCCGAGCTGTCGAAGATACCATGGCCCTGATCCACGTCCAATTAAAACGACCTTTCAGTACTATGTGAAATACAGTGTTGGTCACAATAATTCTGGGTCGTAAAAACACCAAAATTTAAAAACATTATAACAAAAGCAACAATACCCCCGAAAATAGGCTTTGAAAGCGATTTTTCGTGATTTTCGATATTTCGCGCCGATCTTTTCACGCTATTCGAAGGAGCACCAAAAATATATTTGGAGTTTTATATACAGATCAAAATGCGACTCCGAGGCAAGATGAGTAAACATACTAACTTTTACCCAAATCACCGCTTGACATTTGTCGCATCGTGAAAACCCGTAGTCGAAAGGATACGATTCTCCGAATGACTTCCACAAGCCAGAGACAAAACAATCTTGTGAAACTTGCGGCAACCAGCAGCCATGAGAAATTCATTGTAACGGGAAAAATGATTTGCAGACACAACAGCCGTCAGTCTCTGAATACCGTTGGTTCAGTTGGCAGCTGGCAAAAACCATATCGCCCGACATCTATTTATTAATACCTTGAAACATGAAGTTCCTTCAGCTACCTGCGCTGACAATGTCGCCCAAGGACGCAGGGACCGGATCCCATATTAGGCCATTTTATCAGCGAGCTATGCTCCTTCCCTATTTGCTTCTCGCTTGCATGGCCATCGGGGTCGACTCACAACGGGTGACGCTTCTGCCCCCCAGCCGAGGTTCGCTTTCCTTCATACAACATAAGCGATCTTATTTCTAGCTAACCACACCGACGAACCATCTTCTGCGTCCCCAGGTAACAAAATACTCAAGGTGTCATGTCCAAATCGCAGAATATAATTGACTTTGGGTTAAGTGCAGTCCCCCCAGCCGACCCCGACCTACGTTATCTCGGCTCCCTGTTCATCTACAGGTGTGTCAAGTATACCAAAATACTCGCCAGAGCAAGACAAACATTTTGATATACTTTATACACCTGTAGAATAACAGGGAGACAAAGACAAAAAGTGGAGTTTCGGCTGCGGGGGGTAAACTGAACTCTAACCAATACGCCTAGCCATTTTCATACTTCACAATTTATTAGAAAAATGATCCCCATCCCAAATTGGGCCTAGTCACCAAGCCCGCGGATGGCTTTTAATGCCCTGAAAACCACCCAAATCAGCAAACAGGGATTCCGGGCTCCGTTCTAAAACTTAAAACAGCTGAAATGCTCCAGATCGTTTGCCGATTCCAGCAATCGCATTTTGAAATTCATGGGTTTTCACGTCGTAACAGTGACAAGAATGCCCGCGACGCGGTCACCCTGTGGCTGTATCTATCACTTGAGACATCTCTTTTCCCAAAGGGCTGGTCGAACGATAACGAAGAATAAAGGGATCAGGAAGCCCCAGATAGTTTGGCATAAAACCGGCTGGGTTTCAAGGTTTGCCTAAATTTTCTCTGTTTACTGTCGCCTTGGACCGCTCTCTCCCAAGTTTTGTATGGAATTTTCAGTTGGCTCGTAGCCAATAATTGCCAATAATAGATAAGACCTGATCTACACGGGCCTTCTTGATCCCTTTAAGTGAGGATATCCCTAACTTTGCGCTTTCAGTAACCGAAGCCTCGATCACCAGCACCGAGGCTCCGTCACCCTCTTCCCAAATCATTCCCACAATCGACCCGAGCCAACAATCACCAGATGAAGTTGTCGTTGTGGAATATTCTGGAAAAATGTCTTTCTCATTTTATCGGCCTGGGAAGAAATAAATACAGGCTTACGTAAGCCTTAAACTTTGTGAACCTCGTGTAATTCCATCATTTTCAATTCAATTCGTGATAAAATTTCTAACTTGATTTTTCCGATCATTTTTTCATCAATTTCCATTTCTCAAGACACAACAATCTGTTGCAATCGACCGCAATCAGCAGGCATGAGGCATTCAATTAAAGTGAATTAGACTTTGAGACACAACAGGCACATATTCTGAAGTTGTCCATCAGCATGATAGTAATCAGCTCCTGACGCAGGCATTTTAACTTCGGTACTACCGCTTAACTGGATCATGAGACTTTTCATGATCAGTTCCGTTTTCTTGGCTATTATACTAGCTGTCAACTCGATCTATACCTTGAAGCCGGCACCCATCGGTTTGTCGTCCGTTTTGCTTCATCGTGTCTCTAGTGACCTTCGTGACCTCCGCGCCTCCAAGCCCCATTACCAAGATGGCAAGTGAGCGATTTTTCGAGTATTCACTAATTGTACTAGGTGTCCGAAAAAACGTGTTGTTGCAAACTCGCCTTTGCCACGGCTTTCGAAAGGTGTAACTATCGTTCCGCTCAAATATTTAAGCGTCGAGCTAGAGCGGGTCTCTTTGATTTGGACATCCTGTTGATTGTGTTTCGAAAAAATCAATAGTTGCGTACAAATTGAGGCAAGTCGCGCAAAATCGAGGAATTTCGAAAATAGGGCAGAACCGCGTGCACCGCTTCTCCACCGGCTTCAGGTAGGTAACTAAAGCGTAAAACTCGAACCCACCCCCCAGGTAAGTGTAAAACAGCGGGTTTTGTGCGGCGGCGAACGCACCAATAACTCCGAATTTCATCAAGAGTATCCCTAACTTTACTTTTCAGCGACCGAGGCCGCAAACACCAGCACCGAGGCGCCGCCACCCTCGTCCCAAATCATCACCCCAATCGACCCGAGCCATCAATCCCCAGATGAAGTTGTCGTTGTGGAATATTCTGGGAAAATGTCTTTCTCCTTTTATCGGCCTGGGAAAAAATAAATGCAGGCTTTCGTAAGCTTTAAAGTTTGTGAACCTCGTGTAATTCCATCATTTTTGAAACAACTCATCAAAAACAATTGAAGCTTGACTTTCCGATCATTTTTTTCATCAATTTCCACCCCTCAAGTCACAACAGTCTTTTGCAATGGGCCACAATCATCGGGCAGGAGGCATTCAAATCACCCGAAAATTTGGTTTCTACGAGACACAACAGGCGCATCTCCTTGGTTAATAGGACAACTATCGATTCCTACGGGCTGGCAAAATTTCGTAGAAAGAATGAAGCTGCACATGGTCAATGTTTTATTCCTGGCCATCATAATGGGTGCCGACTGCTATGTTGAGTATCCTTCAGATCCTACAAGTTTGTTTATTCGGCTCCGACTTTTTCTTCCACGACCGTGAACGAATTTTAAGTTTTAACTAAGTCTGAAATGTAAGCTGTATGCTTAGCATTTCTACAAGCCAGACCTACCACTAGAAGTAATTCCTCATGTTTTTGAAGGTCATTTTGCCAAAAAAACTATAATTTTTCGCTTACAGGAGCCACCCCCTCCGTATCCACTTCTACTGCTGGACCTCTGAATGTCGTCTCCGAAACCGCCACAAACGGTGGTTTACAAATAACAAAAATTAACCATAAGAATTGTTTGAAGCAAAACAGATGATATTCGATTGAAGACTCGGAAGCAACAATTTTAATGCTTTAATTTTCAGAAAATAACGATCCGATCGTCAGGATCGATGTGCACATGCCGTCTTACGACAAATTCCACCCAAAACAGATCACCGGCTTGAAGCTTGAAATCATACTCACGCCGGCTGGTTGTTAAATGCAATAAATGATTATATCTTCGAATCTATCAGTTTCATTCTCAAAACTACACAAAAATTTTGCTAATATAAAACTGAAATCGCCGTAACCGAAAGTCAACAATTTTCTAGATGACTATCATGCCTCAGAGACACAACAGTTTTGCGAAATCAACGGCAAAAAGGACCCATGAGGAATTCATATAAACGTGAAAATGATAGAAACAGACAAAACATACACACATTCTTCAATTACTACAAATATCTTTCGGTCCTTACAACGTTAAAGGACGCCACTCAGTCAGTTGCAATTGACGGAACATTGGACGATGAGGGTTGCTGTCTACCTGATATTGGCTATGGGAGCGCTAGTGGCGAGCGGCATACGTGTTTCTCCAATGCCAAATGGTTTGTTTTTTGTTCTAATTCAATCCTTTGTATAATTTAGTGAATATATCACACCCCAAACATCCCACGCAGCCAGGACCAGGTAGAAATTTTTAAAAACTATTCTCCCCCGGCCAAAGGTCGGGGGAGGATAGAATTTGGTTCTTTCGCATTTTCGGGGGGAGGGGGCGGCGGCGGAATTTTTTATTTTTTAATTATTTAACGGCCGCCCGTTTTTCACTTGAAAATCTGAAAATGAAGACGTTTCTTTTTTGATCGGGATTAGCGGGCGCAGCCGGGCCCCTAATAATCACTGCCTTGTTACTGTAGAGGGACCTTAGAGGAAGCCGGAGGGCAACACCAAAAGGAGACCCGGTCGGCCTTATCAGCCGGCAGGGCTCTTCAAAAAGTCAGTCGTAGGAAAAACGGGCTGGCGTAAGCCGAGTTCCTTAGGCTCATGGATATTCGTTCCCCCCTCCCTCCGGTCGCCTCCCGGGCCGCGTTTTTAATGCGTGATATTTTAAGTGTAGGATAAAACCCTAGAATGTCTGATACCTATTTCGTTAACACGGACCTTAAGCCCCGACCCGATGGCCCGACGTGGCCCTCCCGCAGATGACACAAGCTCCTGATGATCCTGATGTTGGACCGGATGCCTCTACTCCACGTTCAGGTGGTTCTGAGCGGTTCAGCACGGTTAAGTCTGCCCTTGTGAAGTCGGTAGTTGTCGGGATATAACAAAACATTCTAAGTGTAAGGTAAGGGCCCTGGAAAATTTGGAAAATATTGACGCAATTTTTTTTGAAAAAACTTCATTTACAGCGGCCACCGTATCCGCAACTGCGTCCACTTCCTCCATTGCCCCAGCTGGTAATTAAAACTTTATTACGTCCTCAAGGTCAAATCAAACGTATTCGTTTAGTCTCCGAGAGCGAACAGTCGGTTGTGAGGGTTGATGTTCACATGCCATCCGATAAATTCCACCCGAAGCAAATTGCCAGTCTGAACGTCCAAATTTTGTTTGCGTCTCCCGGTTGCCCACCGCAATAAATGATTCCTACAGGATTCCCGTTGTTAATTCATAAATTCTCGCTCCGAGCTGTCGAAGATACCATGGCCCTGATCCACGTCCAATTAAAGCGACCTTTCAGTACTATGTGAAATACAGTGTTGGTCACAATAATTCTGGGTCGTAAAAACACCAAAATTTAAAAACGTTATAACAAAAGCAACAATACCTCCGAAAATAGGCATCGAAAGCGATTTTTCGTGATTTTCGATATTTCGCGGCGATCTTTGAACGCTATTCGAAAGAACACCAAAAAATATATTTGGAGTTTTATATACAGATCAAAATAAGGTAATTTAAGATCCGAGAAGCTATTGACAAAAGATGCGACTCCGAGGCAAGATGAGTAAACATACTAACTTTCACCTAAATCACCGCTTGACATTTGTCGCATTTATCGCTTTAAGCATAAATTCTTGCCAAGATCAATCTGTGAGCCCGTATTCGAAAGTAAACAATTTTCTGGAGCAATTTCACGTACGAGAGACACAACAATTTTGTGAAATCAACGGCAATCAGGAGCCATGAGGAATTCATATAAACGTGAAAATGACAGAGACAGACACAACATACACACATTCTTCAATTACTACATACAGCTTCTGGTCCCTACAACTTTTAAGAACGACACTCATTTGCAACTGACGGAAATTTGGAGGATGAGGGCTCTTGTCTACCTGATATTGACTATGATAGCGCTGCTTGCGAGCGGCATCAATGTTCCTCCAATGCCCGACGGTTTGGTTTTGCGTTCGAACTCAATCCCTTGTATGTTTTAGTAAATATGTCACACCCCGATCCTCCCACGCAGCCAGGACCAGGTAGAACATTTTAAAAACTTTCTATTATCCACCAAAGTTATGGCCAAAACAAGTATTTTAGTAGTATTTTTAGCAAAAATTTGTCAGATTTTAAGTAGAAAAACAAGAAGAAAGCCTGGAAGAAATTGGACAATTTGAAGAAAAAAATCTCCTTCTGACTTTTTAATCAATAGTGGTAAAATTTTCGCATTCAGGAAAGAGAAAAAATGGTTAGGAAACCCGGATTCTTAAAAAAAGTAGTCCCCCTCGATAACGCCAAAAACTTTCACAGCGCTATAATTATTCAATAATTACGATTGGTTGAATGGAATTGAATACCTTTTACAGAACGAACAACTCCTACTAGTACCATCGCCGATATCTAGACTACTCTTCCTACCCCGACAACCCCTGGTATTTATTAAGCTACTTACTTAATTACCTAATCAGCAGTCAATTCTTACAAACTTATCCTCTCTGAAATTTTAGATTCCGAAGATCGCGTTCCGCAATTTCCGCTTTCAGCTCCCGGATCAATCGAATTGGCGAACTTGGGCAAACCCGATCAGGAAACCGTCGTCCATGAATACGCCCATAAACTGTCTGTATTCCGTACTTATTTTGTGCGCAAATAAATTATGCATTTTTCTTATACACTACGCTTCAAAAACACCTTACAAAATCCAAGGAAAAGCTTTTGCAATCCACACTGCAGATGAACTTTGCATGATTCGATGACGTGGCAGCGATACTGAAAACCTGGTTTCGGGAACTACGGCACTATCTTTTGAATGTGAGGGGCCTGCCACGATGTTTAGCAGATTATTCATACTCCCAGAAACAACAAATTTTTAGACACAACATCAGTACGTCTCCAGAATACTCCAAGTTTAGTTGACTTGTCCATCACTTTGAAGAATGAAGCTCCTTCTGCTACTGGTCCTGGTGATGCCGAATGCCGCGTTCCATACAGCTCCACCAGATCTAAGCAGTTCGCAAAAATTTGTGACAAGTTTACTATTTAGCGCAAAAGGAATTGGACCCAAGTACCTTGCAAACCCGTAACCAGGGGCGTAGCCGACCCCAATTTTCGGGGGGCAGCAAGAAAAAATTACGAAATTTGAGCGCCGCGGGTTAGTAATGGCCTTGAGGTGACTGGACACGTATCAGATTTTACAAAATCAACGATTTTCGACATTAAATTTAAGCATTCCCCGTGAAGCAAACTGCCGGACTGAACGCCTTCTGATTGTGCACCTCAAAAAATGATTCACACCCCCTTTTAAAGTTGTTAGCTCCTAATTTGTCGCTTCGAGCTGTCGAACATACCATAGCAAAATTAAAAAAATGCTATACCGATGCGCGATACATTGACAGACACAATATCAGCACGCCCCTCATGACCGTGATTAAAAGGGTTCATGTCCATTTTGCAAGTAAATTGCACATTAAAGAAGCCGGAACGCCATGAGGAAATTTCTAAGTATAACTCTTCTCGTTCCGTTGGTCTTACTACCAATCTCAGCTGTCATACTGCCCACTTCAGCCCCATGTGGGTTTTGGGTTGAGGTTTATCTATGAAAATTTAGCGCTTCCCCCGTACACGGGACCCCCTGTCTTCCCAGGTATGATATTTTTAGCAAATAGCCAGATTTCAGGTGGGAAAACCAATAAAAAACCTAAGAGAAATTTCTTCGAAAATCGGCGATTTTGGGCAAAAAATAATTGACATCGCTTGTATTGTATGCAACAGCTTAGAAAAGCTTAGCAGCAGCAAAGATGGTCGCCCGTAAGAAAAAACCTCTTATTTCCAGCACTCGCAACCCCCCATAACGTTAAATTAAATAACGTTAAAAGCTATTAAATAATGGCGAATGGTCGTATATGACACCTTTTCTAGGAGATTCAACACCTGCTAGCACTACCGCCGATGTCTACACTACACTTCCTACCCCGAAAAGCACCGGTAACTATTAATCTACTTACATACCTAGTTAGCGGTCAATATTTCCAAACTACCTTCTTTGAAATTTAGATTCCGAAGGCCGCATTCCGCAATTTCGGCTTCCAGCGACCGGATCAATCGAATTGGAGCACTTGGGAAAACTCGATCAGGAAACTGTCGTCCATGAATACACCCATAAAGTGTCTGTATTCCGTACTTATTTTGTGCGCAAATAAATAAAATTTTTTTTATACAATGTGCTTCAAGGACACGCTGCAAATCATTGGAAAAGATAGTGCGCCACACGCTGATGAAAAGCGTCCATGATGCCGTAGAAAGAACGTCGGATTTCTCCAGAATACTTCAGGTTTAGTGGGCTTGTCCACCACTTTGAAGAATAAAGCTCCTTTTGCTACTGGTTCTGGTGAGGCTGAGTGCGTTCCGTACAGCCCCGCCAGTTCTACCAGGTTTGCAGAAACTTTGTCAGAAGTAGAGAATTTAGCGCAAGAGGCCTTGGAGCTAAGCACCTTGCCTACCCGTAAACCGTTTTCTAAGATTCATTAGAGTTACCTATTCTGGACGAACCTAAAACTTCGAGCTCGAGCACCTGGGCAAACGGATCAGAAGATTGTCGTCCATGAATACTCCCACAAGTTGTCCGCGTTCCGTGCTTATTTTGTGCACAAATCAACGCACATTCTTGTCTTGGCCGATCCGCTTGGATCGACTTTACGACCTCTCGGAAAGCTATTTTTATGCATGCCGCCAATGAAAAGGTTTAAGGACATGGCAACGCGACGCACATCAGATGATTTATTAGGCTTGCACGCACTATCAGTTTCCAAAGCATTTTTCTCCAGTAAATACTGAGGCATTCCAATTAAAATAGTGCCCAGAGTCGCCCTCATCCGTGTGTTCCGTGCTATTATCGATGCGACATTCTCCCTCCTCCTGATCACAGAGCTTGATTAATTGCCGACTGGACGCTGACACTAGCGCCACTCCCTAAAAATGACACTTGTAATCAAATTTTAACGCAACACGTACACCAGCGTGATGAAAGCCAATTGCCGGTTGAGGGACCCCATCTTTGTAGGTGACATGCGCGGCCTGCGGGTAGTTCTGAAACCATTTAATTCAGGGCGCCTAACAAAGAAGCGGCGTCTCATTTTTTCGCGCATGTGTTTGTAACAAGTCAAATAATTTGGAAGTAAACACGACCGGGGACTTGGTCGTTGACAGGGTGTCCCAAACCCCCCCCCCCCCTCCAAATCGGCGGAGAAGTATCGGCTGGGAACGGGAGTTATACCATTCGACAGGGCTAGTAAGGGCGAGTTTTCAATCGTTTTCAAAACCATGTTTTAAATGAAACACGTCATTGTATAACGCATTTAAAAACGTTCAGAAACGGCTTCTGAATCTATTGAACGCCCACGTCCGGGGTTTGTGTGGAGAATTTGAGGAAAATTAGCGCGTATGCAACCCGAGAAGCCGGTACACTTTAGAAAGTAGCTTGCAAAATAGCTCATTTAAATCAAAACATACTTACTAGTTTTGTCTTTTTGTTTTGAGGATGGTTGCAAACTCGCCGTTTCAAGGGCTTTCGAATGGTGTGAATATCATTCCGAACCGGTACTTCAGCGTCAAGTTAGAGGGGTGTTTTTTATTCAGACGCCCTGTACTCACCATAAATGCATCTGGTGGTTGGTAAACCCGTCCGACCACTCGGTTTTCCTTTTTCACAGCATCAGCGAAATGCTAGAATTATTGCTTTCGGACCACCCGCGTAACCAAACCACATCGCCACAGCGAGGCTGCCCGAAACCGATGGTGCTTACACGTCCAGGCAACCAAAGTTTCTGCTCTTGAGCCCAGAGAGAAAACATTTGAGCCAGGCAACCGCCTAGCGAATGGCCTTGGAACTAAAGGAATCTTATTTTGCACAGGGGGAAAACTTCGGTCTTGGATCGGAACCGAAACATACCACCAAATCGTCGCGCGCGTTTTCAGTTAGTTTCACCAGAACGCCTCTATAATGCTTCACTATTCGATGCCTATACCCAGTATTACCTAACATACTCCTTGATCATATTAAATGCCTCCAACAGCCGCTTTCCGACTAACACTTCGTGGCCACAGTGTTTAATCCCAAAGAGAACCAGTTCCTGAAAACTGCCCCAATTATAATAAATTGGGTTTGCGCTTTCTGTAGATGACAAGGTATAAAAAAACCTTTTCGTAGGTTCGTATGTTTCCCGGATCTTGTTCACGGTAAACTTCCTCATTTTAATCACACACCTGACGCTGTAGTTCAAATATTGCCTTATCGTCGTCTAAAGCGTCCGGACCGGAAAACCAGAAAACGATCGCTTGCAAGTCCGTGGTGGCGACTTTGAGAACCTAGATCCTTAAAATCTTATAAAAGTTGGGACCTTACGCCGATATGAGTGGTCCACCAAGGAAACAGCTGCTTTGTTTCGCTAAAAGGAGTTGGTGCTTTGTTCAGAATTTTTGAGATCAGCCGACAGCAATAGTACCAGCCACTTACACTCCAGCCCCCGCAGCGGCAAAGCCGCTAGACTTCGGGCTACACGCGCGACCTAGCTCACTATGCCCAAAATCGTGCAAATAGCCGTTTTTGCCACCAAATCACAAAAATCGATTTTTAAATATGAAAAAGAAGTTTCTAGATCCTGTTCTTGATATTATGTGGGTTTCTGACCACGCTCTATCCTAATCCGAAGAGCCCTAAGCTCTAGATCCTTTCCCCGTCGAGCTATCGTTGGCTTCTGACTGACAGACAGACGGACGGATAGAAACCACTATTGAATTTTTATAGCTGATTGATGATATACGGCGTGCGTTTTTCATCCATGGCATTTCGCCGACTTATTTCGCCGACGGATTTCGTCCGTTTTCATCTCGTCGATTTTTTATTTCGTGAATTTTCCAGTTCGCCGATTTTCATGCCAAATTATATTTTTCATTACTTTGTATTCAACTGTCAGGTATACTGTATACTGGTATACTTTTGCATGCTGTCTGATAAAGGTCTGAAAATATCACAAGCAAGTATCATGAAGAATTAAGGGGGCTCAGATGTACTTTACTGACTAAAATGTTGCTGCTTTGGCCTAAACTGGCAAATAGAAGCCGCAAAATGAGCGTCGGTGAAATGAAAACCTGCGAAATAAAAGATCCGCGCAGGAAGATGGGCGAAATAAACGGCAATCTATCATCTATCGATCAGAAGCTGGGGTCTCATAAATTCATGGTCAAGGTTTCCGAGTTAGGTGCATTTCTTAACAAAATAACAATGCGAGCCTTAAAGGTACACTAAAATCTCGTGCAAAAAGTCAGTTCGCGGTCGGAAATCCCGGCCCTCTGCCGCGCAACGCCCGGATCCTTCTTATCCCCCTTCCCTCTCCCCTCTCCCGTCTGTCCCATGGCCTGGTGGTCTAAAGCTCTCGCCCTAGGCGAGTGGCGCGGGTTCGGTTTTGCTCGGCGGCGAGCACCTACCGTAACCCTGTTTGCTATTCCGCGGACGGTTACCGGCCGGTAACCAAACCGACGAGGCTTTAGTGTACCTTTAAGGCTGAGCGGACTTTTTGAAACGGGATTACCTCTAAAAGATATCTTAAGAGATATTTTTGTCCATAGCGGCGGAATTTTACCAACCCGGCGATCTTCTCAATCTGCAATTTAGTTTCTGTTGCGATTGCATCAAAGCAGTCCTTGTCCTTGTTTATTGAGCCGAGGCCAATACCAAGCATCTGCAAGAGGCGACGTCATGAACCACATGCTACTTATAGCCCAATCGCTACAGTGGGTCAAGCTATAACGAAAATTCGAAGTTGCGTTGCAAAAATTGCTTAAATCGACTCTTAATGGATTAATTTTATTACGCAAAAATTTCTTGATGGAAGGAAGCTTGCCAACTAATTTTCACTTAGTTATTGGTCAGAATTTTACTTAATTAGGGATTGATACATCCCTGGTCGAATTTTGGGACCGATCGGCTGCAACACGGTGAAATGACGCATGGGTCTTTTTCTTGGGACGTTTTGTGCATGGTGATCGGACCAAGTACAAAGCGAAGTGAACGCGAAATTGGCCGCTGCCACAAATGCACAAGAAGCTTTGTCCAAAAACTTTTGCTCTGTAAACCCGAACCTTAACTGGCAAAGTTGGTTCGTATTTGAAGGCTAGTAATCCCTGGAGATTGAAAAGTGAACCATATTCAGTAGTAGTGGTCTCGGCTTCCATAGCACCAATAAGCGGCAACAGTATAAAAAATATGCTCAGCATGCTTGGCGCCGGAAAATGTATGCGTCGACGTCCAAATGGGGACGAGAAGCAAGCGTATTGGGCGGAGTTCCAACAAGAAACATTTCTTGCCTCAGGTCCCCAACCAGAATACAAAACATGTATAAGATGAATTTTTGCGAGAGTCGGCGTGTATAGTGTAAAGTACTTATTGTTAACCTCTTCCTCTGGGCCGCTTACAGTAGAGTGTTTTTACTCGGGTGGAACTTTGAAATGAAACTAAGCCTATCTTGTGCAGTATTTTACGCTGATTTTGAATCTGTTTTCAAAAGTTGCGGAATAACAATTTTTGAAAAGTTAGAACGTATTTTAGCGTGCTACAGTGTAACAACACGCAAACTTCGCCGCCCCATAAAAATCGACAAGAAACGATCCCAAAAGTGTTCGTTAACCGGTTTTACTCAGAAAAACAGGGCTTTCATATAAGGTCTGTTAAAAAATCCGGAAATCAGAACCATCAAAAACTACATAATTTGAGGACGGGTGCCACCACACAAAGTTGAGAAGCAGCGGGGTTTAGCTTTTGATTATGCGACTTAGCGTCGACAAGATATCACATCTGAACGCCCATGTGTTTCTGACTACAACCCGCGATCGAACACTTCCAGGATAGATTCCTGCCGATTTTTATGGGGCATCGAAGTTTTTTTACATTGTAGCACACTCAATACGTTGTGACTTTTCAAAAAGTATCATTCCGCAACTTTGGAAAACAGATTCGAAATCAGCGTAAAATCCTGCACAAGATGGCTTGGTTTCATTTGAAAGGTCCAGCCTGAGTAAAAACACTTTACTGTTAGCTTTTGATTGCGCGACTACGCGTTTACATACAAGTTACCTCATCTGAAAGCCCCTGTTTTTCTGAGTAAAAACTGCTATTGCGCACTTCTGGAAAATTTCCTGGCGATTTTATGGGACATTTAACTCAGGGTATTTTTACATTTTAGAACATTAAAATACGGGTAACTTTTCAAAATTGTTAGTCCGCCTGAAAACAGATCAGATTCAGCTTAGAATTCTGCACAAGATAAATATGGTTTCATTTATAAATTTCTGGCCCGAGTAAAGACCAGGGTTGGTCACAAAGGATCCGGTCCGCGGACGGTCCGCGGTCCGGTCCGGTCCGGATCGGTCCGAGTGGATCCGAGAAATTCGGACCGGACCGGACCGGACCGGACCGGACCGGACCGGACCGGTCCGGTCCGGGCTGAACACAAAAGGACATGATTCAGGAGCCAGATATGGAAAATTTTGTATGCAAAATACTACTCTCCAAGAATTTGACATATTTTTCCACATCTATGCTACTATCCGTCGCGTATATAGCCAAAAAGTAATAGGGAATGAATCCACTATAATAAAAAAGTAAAGACGTCTGTCTGTGTGTGTGTGTCTGAAGCCGAATTCAACTCGAAGGGGAAAGGAGCTAGAGCTTAGCTCTCTTCGGACTCGGATAGAGCGTGGTCAGAAACCCCCCAAACTGATAAAAAAATTACGAAAAAGTTTTTGTTTAAATTATTAAAATTAACTTTGAAAGTTTTTTCCTTAGTAAAAGGGGTGGGGGACGGAGGTTGGGGTGATTTTGGACATAGTGAGCCAGGTCGCGCGCGTTTCGCGGATGAAAATTTTCACGGAGGATTTCATTTATTTTTTTTCTTTCATTCCATCCGGTCGGTCGTTATTTTCGTTTTTTAAGGGGATTTCAGCCATGGGGGGTATCTGAAGCCATCAGGAAGGTATTTTGGAAGTTTTTGAAGGGGATTTCAGCCATGGGGGGTATCTAAAGCCATCAGGGAGGTATCTAACAAGGGAACCTTAAGTTGGCACGGTGGAATTTCGAAAAACGGTCGCGGCTACCCCGAGGTTTTCGACTATGGCGATTCCAACGCTCTAGTCAGAATTTCCTTAATGGGCCTCTGGACAGAGATACACCACTTCCGGAAAATGACAATTTACATCCGAAAAATTAGCATTATCGTAAGGTTTATGAGGCCCTCCCATCACATAGGAATCACCAGTTGAGTGGCCGAGTGGTAACCGGCTCGCTTAATAGAATACCGACGCGGGTTCGATACCGCTCACGATTTTTTATTTTGATTTTTGACCGGAACTTCCTGCACAACTTTAACTTTTGATTTTTACTATAAGAAATTTTTTGGTGATGGTTCCAGGCTGACTACTCCAAAGAAGCCTCAAAAATTCGCAAAGATTATGCGAACAGTTCCCATCTCCGGTTTTTTTTTACAAATGGGTCACTCGGATGAGATTTCTGCATTTTTTTTGGCTTCGCTAACGCTTTTAGGCATTTCAGAAACAGAAGGAATTTTCGCAAAAAAAGCAACCAAAACTTGGAGTTGGGCAGAAAGTTCCGGTTAAAAAGCAAAATAAAAAATCGTGAACGGGTTCGAACCCTTGTCAGTATCCTATCAACCAAGTCACTTACCACTCGGCCACTCAACTGGTGATTCCTATGTGATGGGAGGGCCTCATAAACCTATCGATAATGCTAATTTTTCGGATGTAAATTGTCATTTTCCGGAAATGGTGTATTTCTGTCCAGAGGCCCATTAAGGAAATTCTGACTAGAGCGTTGGAATCGCCATAGTCGAAAACCTCGGGGTAGCCGCGACCGTTTTTCGAAATTCCACCGTGCCAACTTAAGGTTCCCTTGTAAGTAGTTTTTGAAGGGGATTTCAGCCATGGGGGGTATCTAAAGCCATCAGGGAGGTATCTAAGTAGTTTTTGAAGGGGATTTCGGCTATGGGGGGTATCTGAAGCCATCAGGAAGGTATTTAGGTAGTTTTTGAAGGGGATTTCGGCTATGGGGGGAATCTGAAGCCATCAGGAAGGTATTTAGGTAGTTTTTGAAGGGGATTTCGGCTATGGGGGGTATCTGAAGCCATCAGGAAGGTATTTAGGTAGTTTTTGAAGGGGATTTCGGCTATGGGGGGTATCTGAAGCCATCAGGAAGGTATTTAGGTAGTTTTTGAAGGGGATTTCGGCTATGGGGGTATCTGAAGCCATCAGGAAGGTATTTAGGTAGTTTTTGAAGGATTTCGGCTATGGGGGGTATCTGAAGCCATCAGGAAGGTATTTAGGTAGTTTTTGAAGGGGATTTCGGCTATGGGGGTATCTGAAGCCATCAGGAAGGTATTTAGGTAGTTTTTTGAAGGGGATTTCGGCTATGGGGGTATCTGAAGCCATCAGGAAGGTATTTAGGTAGTTTTTGAAGGGGATTTCGGCTATGGGGGGGTATCTGAAGCCATCAGGAAGGTATTTAGGTAGTTTTTGAAGGGGATTTCGGCTATGGGGGTATCTGAAGCCATCAGGGAGGTATTTAGGTAGTTTTTCAAGGGGATTCAGCCATGGGGGGTATCTAAAGCCATCAGGGAGGTATCTAAGTAGTTTTTGAAGGGGATTTCGGCTATGGGGGTATCTGAAGCCATCAGGAAGGTATTTAGGTAGTTTTTGAAGGGGATTTCGGCTATGGGGGGTATCTGAAGCCATCAGGAAGGTATTTAGGTAGTTTTTGAAGGGGATTTCGGCTATGGGGGGTATCTGAAGCCATCAGGAAGGTATTTAGGTAGTTTTGAAGGGATTTCGGCTATGGGGGGTATCTGAAGCCATCAGGAAGGTATTTAGGTAGTTTTTGAAGGGGATTTCGGCTATGGAGGGTATCTGAAGCCATCAGGAAGGTATTTAGGTAGTTTTTGAAGGGGATTTCGGCTATGGGGGGTATCTGAAGCCATCAGGAAGGTATTTAGGTAGTTTTTGAAGGGGATTTCGGCTATGGGGGTATCTGAAGCCATCAGGAAGGTATTTAGGTAGTTTTTGAAGGGGATTTCGGCTATGGGGGGTATCTGAAGCCATCAGGGAGGTATTTAGGTAGTTTTTCAAGGGGATTCAGCCATGGGGGGTATCTAAAGCCATCAGGGAGGTATCTAAGTAGTTTTTGAAGGGGATTTCGGCTATGGGGGGTATCTGAAGCCATCAGGGAGGTATTTAGGTAGTTTTTCAAGGGGATTCAGCCATGGGGGGTATCTGAAGCCATCAGGGAGGTATTTAGGTAGTTTTTTGAAGGGATTTCGGCTATGGGGGGTATCTAGCCATCAGGGAGGTATCTAAGTAGTTTTTGAAGGGGATTTCGGCTATGGGGGGTATCTGAAGCCATCAGGGAGGTATTTAGGTAGTTTTTGAAGGGATTTCGGCTATGGGGGGTATCTGAAGCCATCAGGGTGGTATTTAGGTAGTTTTTGAAGGGGATTTCGGCTATGGGGGGTATCTGAAGCCATCAGGAAGGTATTTAGGTAGTTTTTGAAGGGGATCTCAGCCATGGGGGGGTATTGATGGAGGTGGGAAAGGATGTGGTGGAGTGGGACATGTAGGGTAGCCCGAAGGCCAGATGGTTGCAGTCGCGAAGCGACTGTAACCATCTGGTAATTTTATACATTTTTGATTAAGCGATCCAAATTGCGTCATTTTTTCGTACGCCACTCTTTTGCAATCCGAATTTGCATGTTTCATTTCCGTTTCTCCTAGCAAATCAAAACCCCTCGGTCCGCCACGGACCGGACACGGTCCGGTCCGGTCCGGTCCGGTCCGGTCCGGTCCGGTCCGGATGGAAATTTCGGACCGGACCGGACCGGACCGACCCCCGGACCGGACCGGATCCGATTAGGATCCAGCGTGACCAACCCTGGTAAAGACATTTTATTGTTGGTAGGCCCGCTACCACGAAATAAGCATATCGGGTAATTGAAATAATGCTGCTGCATGTAATAGTTCCGATCTAGAAATGGCCTACGAAATCAACATTTCACGATTCAGCCCGACCTTATTGGGTCGGTTCTTGGAAGATGAAGCTTTGCCATCATATTCTATTTATTGTGATGGTCCACCACACTTCTGCAGGGACCTTTTTCCCCCCGAACAATCCGCGTTTGTTCCTTTATTTGGAATTGGCAAAGTATCAATTTAGAGCC